CTAACCTGGACCAACCGGCAGGAACTTGGCGAAGCACAGCGGTTTGGAGCTGATGTCAATTGTAGATAGACTCTCATCAGCCTAGCACGTCCTTTGCCCCGATAGGGGCTTTAGCTTAATAGCTTCCCGGACGTTAAATAATATCACATCACATCACATCACATCGTCTGGGCAGTTTTCCGTGTAAAAATATATACCAACTTTAACAAATTATGTCAAATCGAAAAAAAAGATATTTGATTTGATTGAAGCAAAGAACTGGCTGCGTTGATTGATTTGATTGGGGTGATTGATTGATTGACTTGATTTGTGATGAGCGCTGACGGCCGAACCTAGCCCACCCCTTCTTCTGCCCTCCTTCTATAGTAGGCAATTGCTAGGCACGCCGAACCACTTTACTACGGACGCCGCGTTACGGACGCCGTGTGGCTGACCCGCCAAATCGGGCAAGCGTTCGGTTTTCAGCCACACCATTCTCGAGTCCACCAGTCTCCGGCACTGTGGTTTGTGAACGGGGACAGCGGAGCTAGATCGAGCAAATGGCCTCCAGTTGCATAAGAGAATTTGAACTTGGATTGGACCGCGCAACTGAGATACTAATAAATTCTCCAGAGCAGTGTATTTTTCGCGGCCCCAATTACAGTCGTACATGGATACAATCCTTCCCGCTTTCCTCGCTAACACAACTTGACAGGACAGAAGCCGCTGTAGTGGTAGAAGTGGTAGGCTGCTTACGGGAGCTTTGGCGTCTCCGCTTCGGCGGAACTTCTTGCTTTTCTTCATCACAGATAGTCTCCCATTCTGACCGTCGCCGCCGCAAGTTAGGTTGCCTCCTACGGCCAGCTTGTCGCACGCCTGTCTGCTTTCCCGGCCCAAGGACGGCTGACTTGCGCGTGGGCTTCCTGCTTGGCCTAGTCTTGCCCACTGCTGCTCGACTACAGCGTGATGGCCCAACTTTCATGCTTTCAGGGACTGGCTGTGTCGCATTCTTCGGTCGGCCTCGGAGACATGCTGCGATCTTAGGGTCGAGAATTCGGCGGTAGGGATTGTGCGAAGTTGACTCCCGAAGGTGCCACCGAGGGTGGACGTCCCATTTCGTCAAGCATGTGCCCGTTTCTAATTTGTTGTAGATTGTATGACAGCAAGGGATCCCAAGCTGCCACGAGACGGAACAGTTCTCGTTGCAATCCCTGATCGGCTCCGGCCAAGGACGTGTCCTGCTTGGTATCGATCTTAAGGCCCGCCGATGTTCTTTGGAAACGAGCTTGAGTCCCGGCTCGGACATCACCGAGCGAAGCTCTCCCAGATACTCTGAACCAGGGCCAGAATATGTCCGAGAGGTCAGCACCTCATCCTGCGAGCAAGCATCGATGAAGTCTCGCTCTTGATCTTTCAACATAGCCTCAACAGCCTCCACAAGTGAGTACAAATGGCTCATCCCATTGAGCAGGTAGCTCTTGATATTGTTGTTGCTGGCCTCGGTACCAGACGTCACCCGAACTCCAAAGTTGCGGTGCTTCTTGATGAAGCATTGTGCCCACTGTGCTCGTATTGGCAGGTATGTCTTGTACAGGTACATAAGGATGGCCGGCTGATTGTTGAACTCGTCACATAGGTCCGCCCAAGCCTTTTCGTGTTCTTCCCTTGTCTCTGCGAAAGCCACGAACTTCCACAGTTCGAGGACGCCACGGTAGTTGTGCGGCACAGGTGCAGCGAGGTTGCCCTGAGGAAGCGGGTTGTCTTGTCTCTCTGCTGCGAGCACAGCTTCCACATCCGTCGGGGTCAATGCCACGTGCGTCTGCTCACTGCAAGAGCTACCATCTCCATCGCTTTCCCCACCTTCCCCTGCGTTCTTCCACTTCCGTTTCGCATTAAGAAGGACGTTTGCGTTGATATGGTGGATACAAAGCTGTTGCTGGCTGTCGGGAAATTGGTTGTCTAGTGCTTCCTTCATCGCCTTATCGTAGTCGGTGATAACAACGTCTGGTAGCGGAATCCCATGCCTCTCGGTCAGTTCTCTGACCGCTTCAGTGAGGAATTGGAACCCCTCACGACGCTCGTTATCGATCAAACCGAATGCGGCGTTGTAGACAGATTTCAGGCACGTTAGCCCCGTTACCTGGAAGAGCGGTAGCTTGAAGCGGTTTGTATTGTACGTGTTGTCGAAGCTCATTATTTCCGGAAAGCGCTTCCACATTCGGAGACAATACGGAAAGGTGAATAGGAGGCCAACGAGGCGATCAGGCTCTGTCTCCGACCACTTGACGATATATGGAACGCCTCTCTCGTCAAACAGCTTGATCAAGGCGGCTGTCGGAACCAATCCGCCAAGCTTTTCGCGGCGCAAGAGTGTCCTAGCGTTGTATATGTCCTTTCTTGTGTAGTGCGTTCCGAGATGCTTTTCTTGAACGATGCCACGGACATCACGCGCCCTTATTCCCACCCGTCGGCTGGTCGCTTCAATGGTGGCCTTGACAGAGTCAGTAAGTCTCCGATGGACTGGATGCGCTGACAGACTCATAGTACGGTCATGGTTGTGTTGGCTGTGCTGAGGATCGGCAAACGCCCGCAGCGTCCACCTGTAGTCGTTCTGTTCCAGGGCCTCCGCAATAATCTTCCACTTACAACCGCACTTGCGCGAGCGCCTTTGGCGGGGACCTGCGCCTCTTGATATGCGAGGCTCGCCGTATCGATCACACTGGAACACATATCTGGTCTTCCGTACTCTGCTGCCGGAACCGTTGTGCCTGACAACACCAAATCCATTTTCTTTCGCGAAATCGTTGACGGACGATTGAAGGGCATCGACCGATACCATGGCAAGGCCAGGGATTGGCGGGTTGGGGATGGGTATCGAAGCGCCATGACTGCTGGACCCTGTGTCGGACAGACCGGCCCATTCCTCGAATTCCTCTTGCTCCCGGCTTGGCGACGGTGACGGTGGTGAGACCGACAGTGGTGGTGGGTCTCGGGCGCCTCGAACAACCCGCTGCGTAGTAGGTGCCAGGCAGTGTTGAGCCAGTTCCAGAGCTAGTGCATTGTCCAACTTGGCTTGATCTTGGGCAAAATGCAAGGCGGATCGAAATCGGATCGTGCTTGTCGCGTGCTGCTCGGTATTATTCGCATTTACCTGCTCGCGTTTGCGGACTCTCTCAAGCTTGTCGGGACCGGGAACGAAAGATGTGAACAACCGCCGTGCGCCACGGCCGCGGAACCAGTCATCTAGGAAGATTTGTGACTGCCGCAATTCCCAGTAGGGCTCATCAATTCCGCGATTACCATGTGGTTTAGGAAGGCTGCTGAAATAGTTCTCTGGCCATGTCGCAAACAGGTTGTACAAGGCGTTGTCGTCTCCATCGCCGTAGTGAACCTCGGGATCAAACGTAGCGGGAGGAGGAACTGCAGTAGCGGTCATGTCGTTGCCACCAGGACCGCTAAAGTTGATTTCGTGCCGGGAAATCGACTCTGTATTTTACCGACCAAGGTAGATATGTTGGTGTTGGCGACAGAAAGATGCTGCAGTATAGATGCCGACGGCGATGTCATGCGGGCGCCGAGCTGTCGACTGCTTCAGTGTCAGACAATTGGCTTCACAGGATGACGATTGGCATCGCATTGATTGATGAGAATTATCTTAAAGAGCTAGTTGTAGGTGCACGACAGTGCGCCGCTCTTTATACACAAAGGAAAGTCTTGCTTTGTCGTGCCAAATCCTTGTAATCGCGGCTGCTGGTCCGGCTTATGCAACCAGCGTTTGAGCTTTGACTTTGACGAAGTCAAAGCACAACGCGTGCAGGCGCTCGACCTTAATACGCGGAATATAGCATAGGCTTCCGCGGCCAACAATAAGCACAGATGATATGCAGCATGGAGCTGGCTCTCTGTGCGACATTTAGCAATTTGTTCAGATGGCTAGGAAGGAAGGCAGCCATGTGCGGGGAAGGCAAGACGCGCACAGTGAGATGTGCGCTTGCCCGATTTGGCGGGTCAGCCACACGGCGTCCGTAACGCGGCGTCCGTAGTAAAGTGGTTCGGCGTGCCTAATTGCCTTGTCCACATACCTCTACCGCGTTAATACACTGCGGCGGCGTTCCCATCCGCCAGTGGCACCACCCACCAGGCTACCATCTCATGGCAGACGCATTGTCGACTTCGCCACTTGGACAACAACATGTTGCGGATCTGATAGCTCAGCTCGGCCACAGGTGGCTGTCTTTTGGGCCAGACGCGGTGCCAGCAGTATTGACGATGTGGGCTGATTCGCGACGCGAGTCGGCTGATCTCGGCTGACCGTAAGGTTCGCAGAATCGGCGGCCATAGGAAACAGCCTGGGGTCAACGGCTGAAATTTGTGAGGATGAACTCTCGTGAGGCTTCGAGACCGAAACGTACTGCCACGCTGAAACAAGAGGGGCTGGGCGCTCGGGCGATTTTCACCACGCCACAAGCCTTGCGGCGTTGTATGCATGAGCGCGGTATGCTGTGGCTGGCGGCTGAGTGTAGGGCCGAGCAGAGAGACTCCACACTCGAAGAAACGAACTAGAACTGTGGAATCAACCCTCATTGTTGACTAAACAGACCCCCAACGTGATTTGAGGGACGCATCTTGAATCTAGCGGGTACTCTGGCATTTTCGCGAAGGCTGCAAGATGATTAAATCGATAGCACTCTCACATCTTCGGCATTGGCCGTTCGTCTTGGACCAAGCGTGGTGATAACTCCTTTTCGTTGCCGGCTTTTTGATCTCGTTTACTCTGAGGGCGGCCATGGTGCCGTGTGGGAAACGCTGAAGACAATGGACTATCTGTTTGTCAAGTTTAGGCAGGCCGCAGAGGACACCCGGTTTGAGGAAGCCTCTCATTTCAAGTCGGGAATTGACTGCGGATGGGCGAAGCTCGAAGACTATTACGTCAAAACGGATCGTACACCAGTCTATAGAGCCGTGCTAGCACTTCACCCGTCCTATGGTTACGACTACTTTGAGCGGCACTGGAAAGTGGCAATGGACAAGCCCCAATGGTACAGCGACATGCAGTCCGCGGTGGGTAACCTGTTCGATGAGTACGCCCGACAGGCTGAAGTGGAAACGCAGGCTCAAGCAGGGCTTTTGGAGAGTGAAGGTTGTGAGACGGATGGTGAAGTCGACGATTATAGTTCTTTTGGGAAAAGGTCACTCCGCTCATTGAATACGCATCGAAAGAAAGCCAAGACAGTCAGCGATCTCGACTTATTTCAGACACGACCCATTTACCCACAAGATCTGGACGTTGCGGACCCAATCGAATGGTGGAACCGGCACCAATTAGAATATCCTGTCTTGTATCGAATGGCGCTCGATCTGTTCTCCATTCCCGGCATGAGCGCCGAATGTGAGAGAGTGTTCAGCCAGACAAAGAAGATGATTACAGAAGAGCGCAACCGGCTAGCACCAAAAGTAATCGAGGCGGATCAACTGCAAAAGCACTGGCTCATGAGGGGGTTGGTAGTGTAGCAATAATGAAACCCTGCGTATGTGAGCCCTTTTTGGCAAGACGGTAGAATGTCGGGATCAGACTGTCAGACCTAGACCGACCGGGCTGCTGAAGCCAGACGGATCCAGACCGACAGACCGGAGGCCACGATGAACCCAGACCGACAGACCGAAGGGCCCGGTCTGAGTCGGTCTGTCTGTTAGCCACACTGGATATGCATCATTAAAGCCATAACTGCAGGACATCAGAGGATATTGAGGGGTCACCCACCGCTTTCTGAACGCGACCGCGTCGCCACGGTAACACCTGCAGAAGCGTCGTATCGTCTTTGCCTTTGTCGGGGTGATGACTACTGAGATGCCTGCGTGCCGAGTCATTCCTGGCTGATATGTCGGGTGGGTAGAAGGTGCAAGTAACTAACCTCCGCAAATTGTCCGGTCGATAAAATTCACGCTTTTTGTCAGTGCAGAACGGGCAAGAGTAACCCGATGAGTTGTGAACCCAACCATGCTTGGTCAGATCGATTTTACGCTTGAAGCTCCGCGAGCAATCCTTGACCGAACAGTGAAATGGACGCGTGGACGAATGTACAACAGCGTGGGAGTCGAGAAGGGCTTGCGTCCCAAATGGCCGGGCCGTGCAGCCATTAAAACTGCAAACGAAGGCAGTGCCAAGCGACTCTGTGTCGCTGGCAGCGTTATTCAGGGTTGGTGTTGTCGGGAGGGGCTCACCATTGGGCCTCATGGTGTTCGCCGGACTCTGGAGGGGATTGGCCTGAATCACTGCGGTGACTTCAGATATCCGTGCAGGGCTGAAATTGAACCCCGAATCTGGACCTGGGCTGGGCGACGGTTCAATTCTCGGACGAAAGCCTCCAAAGGGGGGGTCTCGTCCCGTATGCCTGAACGGCACGCCATGACCGTGTCGTGGTTCGGAAACAAGGCGCGTAATTGGCTACCGTCCTTCGAGGGGCGCTTTATGCAATCTCTGCGCTGTAAAGGAGCATGGGCTCGCGAGAAGGCCGGCGTTGGTTGACAATGGTGAGTGATGCTCACGGGAGGACTGTACCAGTGAACTCGATGGCTGCGCCGAAATAATAAGTCGCGTGCCGTTACCGGCGGAACCCGGTGGGGCCATGAGCCCCTGCACCATACTCCCTAACGGCGGCTGGATGACTGGACGCCGGAAACGATCATTAGCTGGGAGGGGCTATTCTGTGCAAGCGAGAATGCTGGCCACTGTGGGGTCAAACTTCCTAACAACTCCTTCTCCTGCTTGGACGCCAACAGATCGTCATGTCATCCTCTCCGGTATGGATGCGCCTTGCTTTTTCTCAGCTGGTGCACGCTGGTGGATTTCCGGGCCCCCGCCGCTGGATCTTCCACACACGTTCATTGGTCGATGCCACTCGCGGTAATTTATTGACACCGTCGCCGTGAGAGGCGTGGCGCGGAACCGAGTCTGGCTGAAGAAAGGAGACCGTGGACCGATCATTTGACCATGAACACTGACAGCCTGCGACTTTGGCCGTGTCCCAACAGCTGTCGGCCCCATCCCCTTTGATGAAGCCGTGATACCCCTGGAATAGCCAGCCCCAGACTGAAACGTCTCGCTGACAATCAACAGACGAGACTGTGTCTTAAACTCGGGAAAGTATACATGAGGAGCCCGCAGCACACCCTCGTCATGGAAAACGGTCACTCCGGGTGGGTAGATCTCGTATATTTACCGAAAACCTGGCTTGGGATATACTTCATGATTCATAGCTTCATAAGCAGAGGGTCTACCGGATCCGCCCGGATCGGACAGATGACGATGATGACCCGGCCCATCCACATGCCTTGTAGACGCCTTCAATTACCGGGTGTCCTTCGTGGACCAATGGTGCTCCTTCTGTCTTGACGGAACATAGTTTGTGAATCTGTCAGACGCACGCGATTCGCGTCGGTGTTTCGTCGCCTGACTCTGTCTTGACCGACCTAGGCCATTACAGGATCGCGCATCATCCTCGACATCGAGGAGCCCACCCATCCCAACTTAGAAGTGAAACACGAACCGTGCGGCTGGTACGGAGAATGCTCGCACCTATTGACAGGAAGGCGCCATGACGTAGCGCAAGACACCCCGGCGAGCCCCTTGCTGATATTTGCATATCCTGTTCGGCGAGTTGCAAAGTCGTGACCCATTCCCTGGATAAGACCGGAAAGGCGGTGACGACCGACGCCTATCGTGGAACCTGCGCCACCAAGCTAGTAGAACAATTGCGCGGACTCCGGACGACGAAAGGACCATACTGATTGGGCGGATCGGAGCCGGGCCGTTGCGGTGGCTATGTTGAGTTCGCGGACAAGATTGCTCTCCCAATTGACAAACAGGTGACCGATCTGCCCCTACGACAGTGACTGTGGTGATCGTGCCTTTGGCATCCTCCCCGAGACCCTGGTTCTTGGGTCGCTGCTGCAGGTGGGATGAAAAAGGAACCTACGGACGGCGGGCGGAGCAGATGGTGGCACGAATCGCAATGGAAGAGGTGGCGCGAGAGTACGGCAAACACTTCCTCGGCAAGCTCGAGGCTTACTGGACGAAGGCCTGCGACGGGTGCGACGAAGTCCGACGCTCGCAATCCCAACGGCTTGAGCATCCTCGTTATGGCGATGTAAGATGCGCTGTCGTCCGACGGTCGCGTGGTTACGCCGTTCACGGTCTTTGATGAAACCTGCAGGATCCACCCTGTTCCTTCGGGGCCGGGACGGAACGGCGGTGCGATAGACCCCGATGAGGACACGTAGTCTCGTGAACCGCCCGGTGATTTGCCATACTGGATGTTTAAGAGAAGCCCGCGGGACCAGCTGTGGACGTCGGTGGTGTACAAAGCGTTCTTTGACCGGGAAGAAGGTGACCTGGTCCGGCAGCACGTTCCGACTACTGCATGAGCACTTTCGTGGGACGTACGACGGGTGCAGGCACAAAAAAGCGGAATCGTTCGACGGCCGGTTCGCAGCCCAAATCGGTCGGTATGCCATCCCATTGGGTCATGGCGCAAAACGTCGACGCGACAGCTAGTTCCCGTCTCAACAACTACACCCGGAACGGGGAGCTCGTCTTTCGTATTGACACTTATCGTCTGGCCTACTGTTGCTTGATCAGTGTTCATCTTTGGTGAGATACCGTGACCTGTTGCCCGTGTTTCAGCGCTCAACGCACGAGTACGTTCGCTGTGGAATGCCAGAAGAAATTTCCATAGAACCGGTCAGGTCCTATGTCGCATTGCGCCTGTGCATACCTAGCTGACAACCGGGAAGAAGTGTCCCAGTAAAGCGGGCAACGAAATATTTCTTGCATTTTTCATCTATGATTGAACTGAGATCGGCGATTTATACCGATCCAACTGAGGCAAGCATCTGCGACATTGCAGGAGAAGCCGGGTTGCCTGAAGTTATCCCTGCCGTTGGTAGGCAGCATTGCTGTTGACGGTCCACGCAAATGAGCGGCTTGATATTGACACACTATTATTGCCATGCCAGATGGTGAAAATTTTGCTGCTGCATTTGCCATATACTGGATGATCGTGACGGCGCCGCCCCGATAGTCACGAAGAAGCGCCATGACTAGCTTGCTACTGTTTGAACTGCTTACTGCTGTATTCACTATATCCTCTTGATCGTTATGTCGGATATGTTTAGGTCCGACTTTCCTTACGTGCGTGGTAAACCACACACTACGCGGCCGAACTGTCTATGCCGAACGTGACAATCTACCACTGGTCTGAGCCGCTTGAACAACTCCCTTTCTCCAACGTCCCAGGCGTTAAGATACGCCGTAAAAGAAGCTCTGAAGGCACTAGAGGACTTCAATCAAGTGACCGACTGATTCCAGAAGTCGTCCGATGCGTCCCAGAACCAGAATGCCCCCGATGATATGACATGTACTCGACTAGTCTGAGTATTGGCGTTGGTAAGGATCAGCCAATTCCCACCAATCGAAGAGCAATGCGAAATTCCCATGGTGTGCGGCCGAGAAGACTTGTGACGAGCGAAAGCTTTTGGCACTGGGCATAACTGCAGAGGCTTCTCGGTGGTGGACAGTAAGTGTACCAAATTAGTTGGCTATATTTCCACGATTGATTTAACTAGCTCAACAAGCCGGACGGATGAGGAGGGAGGAGATGATCATTTTTAAGGGGTCAAAGGTCTCGCAAACATGCTTTGTGTATCTCTCATATGACCGCTGCCGCCCCGCCACACCTTCGCTGCCGTCATTGTAACTGCTTTTGGAACGAAATTCCATAAAACTACAGGCTGAGGTATATCATCCAACGTACTGTGGAACCGGTTTCCTGTCGTCCCCGCGTTGGAATGTGTTTTTCGAATTTTGCGATAACGACAGCACAATGACCCGACCATCAGCACGTGGACGTACCCTATGAGTATATGAGTTGGGTTGTATGTATTATCCTCCCACCAGTGCTGAATGCCGAGTGACACATGTCATCCTCTCATGCACCCTTAATTGCGGTGACTTTCGCTAAGTACGACAGGATGACACGACCATGCAGCTCAGTGAATCGCTTCTCCGTCCAGTCGAACGCGTTATCGTGCCGTAACCCGCGGGTTACAAAGAGGCGATCACATGGTCGATGAAGATATGCATAGTCTAGCCTATCACCGAAACCCAGCGAGGAACGTAATCAAAAAATATAGTAAACTCTCCTAGTAATCCCTTATATAAGACATTAGTTATGATATACGACTTCATCTATATAGTCAAATCATTTCTCTGTTCCTCGTTCGCTAGTTTGCGGCCTTACCAGGGCAGGGATCCATGAGTAAAGTACAAGAGGACATATCTAAGTAACTCTAAATCATCGCCCCAGGACTATTATAAGAAATAATTCTTAGAACTCGAGCAGGCTAGAGTCTACTAGAGAATAACTACGTAGTAGTGGTTAGTACTGGCGTGCCGAAGCATGCGACCGTAACTATGTTCCTACGAAGCCAGGCCAGAGAACACCTATGCTAGGCCAAGGTCAAACATACAACCATATTTTCGCGCCGGTCGATACTAATAAGAAAACTATCCGGTTTAACATCATGATACAATTAGTGCTTATCATGGAGGTTTTTAATCCACGAGATGTCTTAGTCAGTGATAAGAAGTGCAGTTTTACGCGAGAGCTAACGGTCGTCATAGGCAGAGCAATTCTTTAAGTATCAGCCTTAGAACCGTACAGGGTATCATATAGAACTCGTCTTACTAGTCGCACCAAAAAATATACCGAATTCCAGGCCGCCCTAAAATTGCTCTATAGATGCTTACTTCGTCTTCAAGGATCCTAGCGTCGTCTCGTCTATGCACAAATTTTGTTGCCACTTCTTCGCTGACTCCACATCGCAGCGTGGCTACGTTAGTACGTGCACCGTGAATCGCGAGCGAGCGGGGACATACCAATTACATCCTCTGATGTCGCGTCCGTCGTCACCCGCTGGCTTGGGATGTCGTCCAGAGTCTTAATGGCGAATCGTCCACTGCGCAGTGGGGCTAACCCTAATTCGGCAATCCATCTCTGCCAATACCGTCGCTGGCGCGATGTACAATTTCCTTAAAGAAGTGAAGTTCCGCCCCAGCGAATGCATTACGTTGAGCCCAAGCTCCAGGGGAACTACTGGAGATAACTTGTGGGATGTCGCCTTGGCGCGGCGACTGCGATCGTCGTAGGGCCGGCACTGGAACTGCGAAACTGAAAC